ATGAAGCATTAAGAGTTGAAGTAGGTTAAGTTTACCTCAAAGTGCAGTTAACTGTGCTCCAAGGGCAGGTTAGCAGAAGCTCCTCTTTCTTTTCAATTAACATCTAGATCAGACAGCATGTTGATGTAGCTCAGTCCCAGTGTGCTAGGTTCTAGCTAAGGTGAAACAAATCCTGTAGTGATTAATGTTTTTTCCTTAGCTTGTTTTCCTCAGCTATGTAATTGAAAATTGCTAAAGCAGGTCATTTGAAGTATGTGTAGTATCTTAGGAACTGTAACTTAGTGATCATAAATTTGCATTACAAATGCACGTATAGCTCCTTACCTGGCATAAATTTTCAATCTGAACCACTTATTAACTATACCACAACTCTGACCCACCCTGTAATCACCACTGTTCATTTGAAGCTCTATTTTCTTCTAATTTTTATTCTCTGTTCCCTTCCTCTGGATGTTTTTGGTTTTATGTAAAGAAACAAACAGTGACTTTTCTACTTCTCATTCATTCTTCTGCGGTGAGGAAACACTGAAAAACCCATACAGAAATTATGAAAGTGATGAAAGAATTGCCTAAAATATATCAAGGGAAGATGCAACAACAAGGAAAATTGGATAGTGGAAAAAATGTCAAGAATGCATGGAAGAGAAATGTCACCTGTTGTTTTAAAATTGAGTAATGCTATACCTGCCTTTAAAAAAAGCCTTCAGAGAAATATGACTGGTAATTTTACTATACTCATAGTAGGCATAGGTATTAAGCTTAAGCAGAAATATAAATTTTGAAGAAATTAAAGGCAACACAGTGTTTGGAATATTTACCATCATCAGGTAAAGTTATCAAGCTCCTGAGTATTCAAACACAAAATATTTAAGTTATAGCCAGACTCTGCAGTCAGAGAGATTGAAAAGCAAAACTTTAATCAAGCTGAAAGATTTAAGATGTTTCAGTGAAGTAGTTAAAAAGATGTACGTAAGCATTAAGTCATTAAAACGACTTAACCCTCTTAATCTTCTCAAAAGCAGATTAGGCTAAATTTAAACAAAACATGACATGAAGTCCAATTTTGGTTTTATACATTGTGTACCCTTGGTACAGAATTCAGTATGTATAGTTCTGAAAAATGATTTTTGTAAGATAGTATAGGCTACTACTGTCTCCAAAATATAATACTAGTTATGGAGTTACTTTGAACAGCTATCTGCAAAAACCACTAATGACCCATCCTAGTAATACATACATTACTTCTCCATTTTCAGGAAAAAGGAAAACTCTTTGAAGTCAGTTACATGTTTGTTTATGCTCATATTAACTGCTTCCACAGTGCATGATTTCATTATTCCCTTTACATTCTGAGATTTTCATAAGTTCAAATGGCAAATAAGGGCCCATGTAATACTGATTTTCTCATATCATATGGGCATGTTATTACTTACACCTTTGTAAAATTTGTGACTAAAGGAAGAGCCTTTCAGAGTAATTCCTTAGCTCTACTGAATATGAAGAACAAAAAGGATAGTTGACAATAAACTACTTTTTAAAGACCTCTGTAAACATTTTGCATAGTGTTTTAATAACAATACAGCTTTTGCTTTTAAACCTTGCAGAACTAAGAAGTCTTTTAGAAAATATAAGGTTTTAAAAAGAACTTTTTGTACCCATAATTATTGTACCACAAGTTGACAAAAAGATGAGAATTAGGTTCTCACACTTGGTGTACTATTAAATGGCATTTTAAAAGTAAAAGTATTTCAAAAGTTCTAGCCAGAAAAGATACCATTAAAAGAAAGAGGCTTAATGCTATTGTAAGAAATATTGGTTAATTCTATTAAGAAGTTTAGTTATAGAAATTTGGTCATTTTCAAAGTATGATTGAAAAAGTTTAACATGGAACTTGGAAGAAGTGTAGAAAACAAAAAATACTTATTCTAAAAACGATACACTCCAGCATACTTTGTCCAACATGTTTAATTCCTTGTTGCTCAATGGATTTATTCTTTCTCTAATTACAGCAGATGGATCGGGTACAGTTTTAGAATTAACTTCCCTATGGTTGTAACTTGCTTCATTTACAGTAAAGATGACAAAACACCAAATTCATACTCCAAGAAGAGAAGAGGTCTTTAATGATGGCCAGCACCAGAGGACTCTGAAACAAAGACACGATTTAGACTGTTCAAACTGTAGAGCAAATCAATTCAGGAGCTTAGTTCAGAACCTAGAACAGACAACTGCATCTACATCTGAGCACAAGAACTCGCAAATTCAACTGCCCTGTCAAGTAAAACAAACCCCTCAAACTACATACCTAAACTTGGCCAATAACAAAAATCTTCTTTCACAAGTTTTAAAGCACTTATTATAGACAAACATTCATTCTTGCTCAGTTTTGGTATGGTTCTTTCTAAATTAAAGTTTATTTATGCTATTACCCTTAAGTCTACTGAGCAGTATTCTCACTAATTACTCATTGAAAAATGTAAATAGTGTTTGCATATACAAATTCAACTGGGAGCAAATGGGCTATTTATCATGGTGCAGAAAGTTAACTGAGGTATAGCAGATCATGAAAAATTAAATTCCAATGTGATTTTAGAAGAAACTGTCCATAAATATCTAAACACTAGTTTACAGAAGATACAAAAATACAAATTCAAAACACAAGTTTAAACTTCTTAGTTTCTTGACAGCTAAAATAGCAGCTACTCTTGAAATCCTGCTGATTTAAGTAATTCCATTAGATGGCTGTTACTATTATTTAAAGAATTCATTCCCCACCCCGAGTCAAGGCATACAACTTCCATGCGACTCCTAAAACGTATGCAAAGGACAATTTAAGACAGAGGTAGCATCTGTGCAAATTCATAGATGTTTCTAGGTTATAAACCCATCAATACAACCAGAACTAGAAATTTTGAAGTAGTCTTTAAACATTTTATAAAGCCATAATTTAAATCCCAAACTTCTGTAAAATATGCTAAGCTAATTTTTACTGCACTCATTTAAAAAATACAACAGGGTATTAGATATTTAATACTTACTATCTGCCACTGCTTTTTTGCCTGGAAAAAAAAAAAAGAAAAAACAAGCTGAACAATGACAGTTTAAAAAAATACTTCCTATTTATTTTTTGCAGATAAACTTCAGTTAGATTATACCACTTATGATTTGCTAATTTAGCTTGAACAATATTTAGGAAGTGTACAACATGTACTTTCCATGGTACATGTCAGTAAATGTTGTATTGATTTTTAAAAAGTTGTTTGTTTTTAATCAAGACTCCATGCATTTAGAAATTGTAGCCATCAAGACTCCTACTGTAATTCAAAAGAAAGGTATAGCGAATAGTACTATTTTACATAATATATGGATATATACACACACAACGGGTGTAAACTGAAGTGATAAGAATACAGTTTGCTTTAAAATCTTCCTTTGTAAATAAAATAGCTTATTTTACATTCCCATTGTAATTGTTCCCCTAAAATACTGATTCACAGTGATCAGACAAAAATAGGTGGAAAAAAATTCTTCATAAGGAAGACAGTCATAAGAGGTTGTGTAATCTCCACCCTTGGAAACATTCATTTGAATTATGAATAAGGCCATGAGCAACCTGATCTAACTACTTCAAGCAGTGGTTTGGACCAGGTTAGCTCAAGAGGTCCCTTCCAATCTAAGTTATTCTACAACACACTCTTACATAAATGTATGTATTATTTGCAGAACAGCTCCCCAAACTGTGGAAAGGGTTACAGCTATTAAAAGCTATTTTCACTTTAAAATAATGCTTAGTATACAGTTGCCTCATACCAAAGTTTTGGCCCTCAAAACCTTACACCACCACATTATCTAAATCATAAATGAAAATAAAAGTAGCATGACATGAACACAAGCTTGAAGCAGTCTGTCAATTCTGAAGTTAAAGCAAAAGTGAAACTATTTTTTTTTCTCTTTGGCTGTTCAACTACTTCTATTTACTTAAGCTTTTAAGTGTAGTGTAACAGTTACATGCTACAAGTTATTCGGCCAAAGCTAGAGAAATGTTGAGGTAACATCACTCAGCTGGTCCCACAGTGAGGGGTTCCTTTCACTATCAAGTTTGTCTACAGTTTATAACATTTAATTGTTTGTGCGAGCTAGTAAAGGGTTTGACTTGGAATTTTTTCAGCATAGTCTAAATTGAAGAACAGGACCTTTAAGACACCATAATCTGTTGTACCCTTCTGAGGGATCTGTCCCACTTAAATACTTTATTTTTACATTAGATGTTCTGTTTCTTCCTTTGAGAAAGTGATTCAATATCACCAAGTAACACACATTTTAACGTTCAGTGTTGTATCTCAGACTTTGAGGTGCATCAGCCCAAAATAAACTAAATGCTTTAGTTTTCATAAGTTCACATGGGAAACCCTTTTAAAAACAGTGTGGGTTTTTTTTCAGATCTTGAGTAAAACCAAAAACCAGAAGGATTCTAAAAAAAATTTCTAACCAAAGTAAGTTTGAGTTCAAAACAGTCTTACATTCCCCTTCAGCACAAATCTACAGGAGAAACCTCTGATTATATGTTGCAAGTTAGATGTGTGTTTTCATAACCAATTCTTATGTTAGCTAATCTTCATAATGTAGGCACAGTCACACTGGTATTTGAGTACTTTTGTTAGTGGAACCTTCTACACTGAGCATGTTAAAACTTCTAAATTTTTATGGCAGAGAGCTGTCCTTAAGTAATTTCTTAAGTTAATTTCTTATTTGCTGGATATTTTCAATGACTGATTTCTAACTGTTCAGGATATTCTTACCTATAAACCTTATCTATAAAGTAACTGCTACTGAAGACTATAATGTGTAACTTACCACCATATGAAATTTTGTAATAGACATAAGCTGTTAATGCCACGCCAACCCATATTTCTTGATACACAGTAGTGAAGTAGAATTTCATGGCTTTCAGTGACTTTGGAAGCATGGATTGCACCATCTGAAAATTACAAAAAGGTTTGCAATGGTGAGTCTTGCAACTGTATTCTTACCTGCTATATATTTAATATGTATACACACACATATATATTCATGTATATACACACTCCTGATATATATCAGCAGTTTACAGGTTAAAAAAAAAAATCCCCAGACATCCAAAAGTACTTATTCCAAAGCAAAGCAATGAAAATTCAGAGTTAAGGTTACAATTTATGGGCTAAGTCAATAAGAATAAATTACAGCTGATGAAAAGATTCAAAGATGACTGAACAGAGCATTTACAGAGTAGCAATAGCTAGGCTCCTCTCTCCCTATCAGTTACAGCTTTTTTGTTTGTTTCCAGATTCTCTAAGGAGGAAAGACTCATTCCAGACAAGCTAGAGAGGCTCCTTCCTTGCACTACCAAGTTAGCTTCCCTCCCTCCCCCACAGCTGTCTCTCCCAATAATTTCTACTCAAAATAGCAAAATAAATGACGTTAAACTACTGATTTATCATTAATATTTTACTTTCAAAATATGCCTCAAGAGCAGGAAGCCTATCAATAGTGGGTTTTTTTCCTGTCTATGCAGCTTTGTTAGACAAACAGAAAACTGTAAGAGGTTTATAAATAAAGTTTACCTTAGCTCCCATACAACATGTTAGTACATATTTGCACCACATTGCACTGAAATACTACATGTGCTACTGTCTTACATACAGCACTTCACCCCAATAAAAGTCACTATTTACACTTATTACAACCCAATAAAGTCAGTTATAGACACATATGGACAGTATATGGTAAATCAGAGTCCCAGGAAAGAAAAGTGGATTTAAACTTCTATGAGGTAATACTTACTTACTTATTTGGCATTATTAAATGTAAAGCATCCTTTGGCAAGCATCAAAGAGAAAAGGATGCAAGGGTAGCCAATGTCAAAACAACTGGAAAAATCTAAGTGCTTCTTAAAGAATGAAAGTGTCTTCATGGTAATTATTGTATCATTATAGACAAACCCCCATACATCTTCACTTGTTTATGGACAGACACTTCAATCAAATTTACTATTGTGGACAGACTTCCTGCAAGAGTGTTGTGCTTTCAGCAATACTGTAAGAACACTGCACCTCCCCCAAAGTTTCCAGTATTTGCAGTTTCAGATGAATAGTGCCATAATAGCAATAATTGTGCTACAGCAGAATATCAAGACATACTAACAAAGAGACTGAATAAAAAGGAAGGATTTTCCCACCACTACAAAACACAGAGAATAAGGAATGCTATTTCCAATTAACACCCTGCTAAAACACGGCAGAGACCTTTCCCCAAGACCACCGTCCCTCGGTGCACGCAACGTTGTTCAGGCTTTTTTACTAAGATCTATCCGGAACAACGCTGAATTTGCTTTCTCATTGACCTCCCCACCATGACCCCACCGCAGCCCGGGGAACCCACCGCTCGCCCAGGGCCTAACCCACACAGCTCCTATCGCACGGCGGGTCGGGTAACGGCAGAGCTCGAGCGCCGCAGGCCGCGCCTCCCCCCCCGTTTCGCGGG